AGTTTCCCCGCCGCGTTTGCTATCCAATCGCTACCGTGAACAGTCGAGTTACAGCCCTCATCCAACACGGCGTATACGTGCTTATCCTCGTAGATATTTACTACGGGCAAATCAACCAAAGCCGGATGGATATCTGTGACCCCCTCAGTGAAAGCCACGAAGGCGTGCCTCGTCGCGGAGGCCCTCGAGGAGCGCGATCTCGCCGACGCCACTTCCCAACTGTTGTTGGTCGATGACGCAGAGTGATCATCTAAGGCCTCTTGCAGGTATGCGAGAAGGTCACCGCGAGATATCACGGGCTCGGTTACGAAGTGACCCTCTATGGTCTCTTGAAACTGGGCAATAGCCGGAACTACTACCTCTACGGGGAGGCTATCCCCCGTGCTGCCGACTATGCTGCGCAGAAGATCGAAGTCCAGGGTGTTGGACTCCCGCAGCACTGTGGCTGCGTCATCCCTAGCCTTTCGCTCGGTCTGCGGCTGCTCATCTAGAAGCATCCCACAAAGCTTGCACTTAATGCGGGAGGTCTTCCTACTGCTACCCGACCTCTCGGTGGAGGTGTGGGGGCATGTGGCCTGGTCTATGACAGGCTTCTCTTTCTTCGTCTTGGTGACGGTGCCGCATTTCTTACAGGTCCGCATGTCTATGTATGCGTTACTCCCCGACTTGTTGAACTCCTTGCAACCTCCCCGGCATTTCCGGGGGCCTTCGCTGGACGAAGCAGCTGGCGCGGCGAGGCGAACCTCGGGCTGAAAGGGTTCAGGCGGGGGCTCCTGGCTGAGAGGGACATCCCTTCTCGTGATGCTAATGGGGTTGTCATCACGCACATCGAAGTACTCCGTGACCCAATCCAAGAAATCGGCCAAATTTATGGATGGGCACTTCTGCGTGCGTCCCCAAAGAACATATCCAGGAAACGTATACAAGACACGCTCATAAGTCAGACCCTTATGCTGTCCAAAGGAGAAAACGCGATCGGAACCCTCAGGCGGGCTGTCACGCATGATCCTAGCGGCGGCTGTGCGTCGAAGCTGCGGTGAGAAGAGGGTTTCATTGCCGCGGCCTTTGCCGGTATTGGTCCTCGAGGGGGTCAGCTCAAGGTTGGCTGGGTAACCCTCGAGCCTACCAGCGCTCGCATTCGACAGATGGACACACTCTGTGTCATCCTCCTCCACTGCGGCGAAATACGCCTGGGGCTTCGGCGCCGCCGGCTTTGCGGCTGCGTTGGCAGTTCCCCCAGACTGTGCTGGGGTTGTGGTGCCCTTGGGGCCATTGCCCTTACCGCTAAACTTGCAGGCAGCATCTCCGGCCCAATGGCCGATCACACCGCACTTCAGGCACCTACTCTTTGCCTTAAGCTCTGCCAACTTGGCCTTACGATCAGCAATAGTCAAATTGCTACGCACGACCTTCCCTCCGGATTTTCCGGAGGACTTGCCCTTGTTCTTCCCTTTTCCTTTTCCTTTTGCCTGGGCAAAGGCGGTCTGTGCCGCGTACGCAAGCTGAACTGACTCGGCATAGGAATCATCCAAATCGTCAATCTCAGCTTCATATGCCACTGCCGTATAGGCGTTGAGTTGCAATGCTAGGTCTTCATCATCAATCCATTCATCCGCATCATCTCCCCCAGACGCTGTGGCCTGGTATGCTTCCTCGCCGTAGCCGTCACCGTAGCCTTCCGCGGATTCCTGCTGTTCCTGGTGACCATACTCTGCGGCACTACCATCATACCCCATGTAACCAAACTTAGGGTATTGTGGCTTAGCGTCGAAACGTCTCCAGGTCTTACCTGGGCCACTAGGGTCCTTCTGGGTAAGAAGACGTTCCTTCATGTGCACCACTGAGTGATGCTGAACAAGGACGCGTGCGTACTCATCCACGGTGTGTACGCGGGCGGCGGTCTTGACCATTAGCTGTTCGTTCCTTTCCAACCCTGAAAGCTCAACAAGGAGGTTAGCCCTCATTGCTTCAGAAAGGCGGATATCAGGATCTAGCTCACGCAAGGTCGACCACCACCGCTTTCGGCGGGCTATGTAAGACAACATAGGCTCGCCGGGTTGCTTTGCGAGTGGGCCCGTCAGGAGCTGTCCCTGACGGAAAAGTTCGGACGCCTCTTCAGATTGAAGAGGGAAAGCTTGCCTCCTGATTTCTTCTATCAGGTAGTCGACGCCATCATGGCGAAGCAGACGTTCCAGGCCGACGTCGCGAGCAATGCAAAAGGCGTCTCCTCGGAGACCCTCCAAAATCTTGCTAACGCATTCGCTCATATCAAGCGACTCGTCCTTAATGTCTTGCAAGGTGTACACCGCCGGATCTGTGTCCGGCTCCTGCTCATCGTCGCCCGCCACTTGGCTGGGGTGCGACGGCAACGACTCCGCATCCTCATCTTCTGCCTCGGACGCGGGCTTAGTCCGTTTTGCGCTGGACGGACTGGCGGGTATACCGCTGCTTCCATCACCATCTGTGGGCGATGCGCTGGTCCCCTGACTTGCCCTGCCACGCCACTTCCTTGGTGACTCGCTCTTGGCCCTTGCCGACTCGGCAAATCGCAGGTCCTTAAGAGCTTCACGCCGCTGCTTCTCCTTATGTTGCAGCACGCGGATCTGTGTCCGGAAGCACCAATCGTGGAAGCCAGCAGCCGTACCGTCGTATATGTACGAACCGCTTTTCGTTTCTGCAGGGCTCAGGTTCTGTGACCAGAGATTGGGCTGGTAACGCAAACCTGCCACGCTCATGGCTTCAGATAGAAGGGGCCTTTGCGCCGCGACTATCACTACTCTACCCAACGGACCCCGGACCACAGGCTCTACGGGGGTGAAACACTAGTGGTTGTCCTCACAGCTCCGCTACCAGTTTGAAGCAGGAACTGGATTAGTGAGTGTCCAACCACACAACGAGCGCACTTTTTGGTCTGAGCCCAAGACGTCTGTCGAATAGGGTGCGTTCAGAACTGTCTCAAAAAACTATTCACGCATGAGGACATGTCAACACGGCACTTCAAGACAGGGAAATTTCACAAGGCTTTACGGTTCAGGGTTTTGGGCTTAGGTTTTGAGGTTTAGCCTTAGTTTTTGTTGTAAGCTATGTAGAGTTGAGATTTGGTGTGTAGTAAAGTTAGAAGTCAAAAGAAACCATAATGGGGAAGCCGCGACAAGTTTTTCAGAAAACTGGATTTCAGGGTGCCCCGCAGGCTGCAAAGCTCAACACCAGCCCCAAGGACCCCCAACACCCAGAGCGCAGGAAAACACGTGACACACTTAATTGATCACCAGTACACCTCCGACCCTGAACGCAGAATCCCGATTCAGAAATGCTCCTGGAAGAGATCCTCTTGGCCCCCCAGACGCCAACACCGTTGAACAAAAATCTGACAAAAAACCATACTGTCCTGGAACTCGAAACACGAGCCGAAGAAACACAAACGAAAAAAAAAACAACCCATGACAGGGAGAGACAAAGACAACTAAACATTAAATACTCAAACAAAGACTGTATCTATGTATGTACGTATGTATGTATGTATGCATGTGGGAATGGATGCATGCATGCATGCATCTATAGACATATGTGTGTTTTTGCATACATCTGCGTACGTATACATACACTTTTGCATGCATGTTTGTCTTTTCTGAACTTTCTGTCCATTTTCCGTTTTTTTCGGATTTGAGATCCCCGGCACGGAGGCAGGGCCAGGCCCCTCCTCTCCATGCGGCGGCTCCTCTCGCGGGCAGAAAGCATTCAGCTCGGCTTTGAGTACAGGGCCCGATGAGGGTTTCACGACCCATGTTACTATTCGGATAATGTTCGCATACTTATGAATATATTGCACACACAGACCCTCAGTTGGTTTACACCTACCAAAATTCGAAACGCTCCAGGATCACCCGAGGCGTGCGCGGTGGATTTCTTTAAGGCCTATACGGATGTAGAACGCAGCAGTTAACAGGTTTAGGAATGCCGGCATGCGGGACGTAGGGATGTGCTGTTCACAAGCTTCGGATCTTTCTCAACAGCCACTGACATTAAGCCCTACGTGTGGTCATCTGCGCATCTCTGACACGCAGGATGTGCTAGCACGAGCTTGTACGACAGGTTCCGAGAGGCAAAGGCCCGACTGTAAAACCCAAATACCCGGATTGGTATTTTACGGCCCCCCAAGACGTTGACTCTTCATCACCGGAGACCCTCAGAAGGTTCAGCAATGGTGATCTGTAGCGTCGATACGGGATCTTGCATGAAGCCAACCGTAGTGCTGGCACCGATATGGACAATGCTATCAATGCCGGAGGCATGCATGAATCAAACACAGCCAGGCTGATCGTGACCATACTCTTGCCCGTACCGTAGCACCAACATAGCGGCAACTGACGCTAGGCAAGTCATCCTTTAGGGACATGTGCAAAACTGCAAGTAAGAGTGTTTCCAGGGATCATGCCATCAAAAGCGCGACGACAGCATTCACGACAGGTCTTCCAACCAAGACCTTCCCAACATCATACGGAAGCGAACAATGAATGAGCTTGTCATTTTGTTTAATTAAACTTCAATCGCATATGCACCCCGACACCCTCAAGAAGTTTCCAAACAGGTAGCCCAAGTAATCGAGGATGGTCTCGTGACTTGTGGGGTGAAAGTAGACATGACATGCAGCAAAGAGTGTGCGAAGATGATGTCTCAATTCAAATAAAGTTTTACCATGGCCAAAAATAGGAGTTTAACTCCGGAGCTGGTTGGTGTCTGCTGTGTATAATCAGCCATTCTACCTGGCATCTCACGCTGGGCTGCGTTACGGGGTCTATTGTGATCTACTTCCTGGAGGAAGTCTGGGAAACCCTGGGCTCCAAAGTACACCCCTTTTCCAGAAACGCAAGTCGCCAAAGCCTACAGCTCAGACTCAAATACTGAATTCTGCAAACCTGCGACTTTCTCTAACGAGCCTGAAACCGTGAAACCCTAGCGGTGGGGCAAAGGGTTTAAAGTTCAGGCTGTTTTAAGATGTTTTAAGTGGGCCTGAACAAGAAGAAGAGGGTTTTGGAGTATATCACAGTCTAAGTATAACAAAGAAGGAACTCAACGAAACGATTCATATTAGGATTCGGGGTGGTTGGGGGCCAAGGGTTTTGCTTTGAGGGCTCGCCAAACAAATCTGCAAACATCAAACATCATCAGATCGAAACCACATACCACAAAACCCGACAGCCTTGAAATCGGAAAGCTGACACCCTAGGAAGTCAGGGGCGTGCAGGGCGCAGGAACTTAACCCGACACGCCGCACACGCACACACACATCTATCCTAAATGGCTAGAGGCGCTCAGCTACCGCCAGTAGTAAACACACGCGGCGATATGCCTGTGGAACCAAAACCAAACAGCTTGGTGGGTTAATTAGGCCCCAGAACTTTTTAAGGGGCCATTACCCCCCAAACCCCAAACTTCCCTGAGCCGTAAACCCGCACCACGGGCTTGGGTTTCACTAGAGAAGGGACCCCAAAAGGAAGGATGAAAACCCATCCGAAGCTGGTGAAATTAGTAGAGAGGGCCTGAATCATGAACGAAGCTACGCCCTATGGTTCCTGCTTGGAGGGCCGGGGGACTTCGTAACTGGTTATTTTAGGGACTTACCAGTACCGTAACCCCAATTTGGGTTCCTTTTAGGGTACTTATAAGTATAACCCCAACAACTCCAGATCTGCAAAGGTTCAGGCCCCTACCTTCCTCTCCTTGTTCTTGGAGTCTCCAGTATTGTCTATGGCCCAAAGAAGCACATAAGCAAAAGTTCAAACGGGGATATCCCGTCTAAACCCCCTTGCAATGAAGCCCAATACGCTAGGGATATCCCTATAAACTGCTGATGCTTTATGTCCTTCTGATAATCCCTCTAGTACAGCCCCCCCTAAACCCTTTAACCCTAAACCCTTAAACCCTAAACCCAGGCCCTAACCTCCAAAAAACTAGAGAGATCTGCCCGAATTATGGAAGCTAGGGGCCCCAAAAACTAGAATAGGGCTTGTGGGCACATTATCCTAGACGTTTCATATTATGCGGAACTATACTATACTGTACTATTCTGATAGGGAATAGGGAACCACCCAAAACAATAGTGGTAAAAAAAACTTTGGGCCCTATCTTAGGATCGTATCTTCAGCCCCTCGTGGGTGGAGTCCCGGGGTCCTCCGATGCCGGCGGATCTGCCAGCGTGAGCTCCTCACATTGATCAGGGAAGCCACCAAAATTTAGGAAAAGGGATCCATAAAGGTTCCTTTAAAGGGATCTATAGGGGATTCCTTTAAAGGGGTCTATAAGGGTACTATAAGGGTTTAGGGTTGATAATGTAGGAACCTGATTAAGCAAACCTTGGGCCTTCATTAGGGTTCCTTGTATGAACCCTACTATTTTGGGGTTCGAGGGCCAGGGGTTTCTTAATCAAGTTCCCAGTCTCCCTGGCTCTTAGTAGGGAATGGGGGAATGGGTTATGGGGATTACTATTGGGGATTATATAGGGGCTACCAAAGGGGTCCATTCTCCCATTCCCTGCTAAGAACCAGACAGTTGTAGTTCCTTTCTTTAAAGTTTAACCAGGTTTGTAGGCAGGATCCTTTTAGGCAGCCCCACGAAACGAACTACCATGAAGACCATGGGCACAGCAGTATTTCAGCACGGTCTCGGGCTTCGGATGTAGGGCTTACATTCATAGAGGGGTTTCTGTAGTGGCTATTGTTTCTGGAGGCTGATGTAAGCCTGGAAGACAGAGTCTTTGGGTTCCCAAGGGAGGCTTTTGCTGAAGTAGTCTGGGTTCTTGTTAAGGGATTTAATTGGGAATTTCCGAAATTAGGGGAACCCCAACATGGTACCCTACATAGTAGGATCCTTATTATAAGGACCCCAGCTAGGGTACCCCGCAATTTTCGGAACTCCCAATTTGAGTTACCAGAACAAGGAAACCAGGCCTCTGCTCAGGTAACTAACCCTAAGGGTCCATGTGCCCATATAGAGATACATGAGCCCCAAAGTACCTATATAGGGACTACATTAAGACCAATGTATATACTATATGAGCACATGGACCCTTAAGGCAATGGAGTCATCAGCGAGGGAACCCCTAAGTTGCTGAAAATGGAAAGCTTCTGCGTTTTTTTTTGGGGGGTGTTGAGAAATTGCTTTTGGGGAAACCCAATAATGAGAATTCGGGTTTATGGTATATGGCATATGGTTCAGGGTTTATGGGAAAGCCTCCCGGCCTGCTAGCAAGGCCCCCACCGAACGTGTGGTTTAGTTCCGGTCTTGTTGGGCGACCTGAGTTCGTTGAGTTTGAAGAACTATGCCTACACGGCAAATATGGCCACTGGTACCATTACTCAAGCTGCCTTGGGAGGCCGCCGGAATAGCAACAGATTATTCAGTCGATCGTTGCTCGTTCGGGGGGGACCTAAGCCCTAAACCCTAAACGCCCAGCCTCATCCATTGCCTACTTGTCGGGTATCATGGGGAACTAGCGCTCAACCTTTTTTGGTTATATAGCGATCATATAGGGGCTATACTACCCAAAAAAGGTTAAAGGTGACCTACTCGACTACTAGGATTGACAACATGGGAGTTTCCGAAAATAAGGGACCCTGCTATAGTACCCTAAATAGTCGGATCCTTATTGTCAGGACCCCGAAATAAGGTACCCGCTCTTTTCGGAAACCACCACATGACTGCAGGTACTCTTGAAGATAGGGGTCGGCTCGATAGATTGACACGATCTCGCCCCAGATCCCAAATATCGTACCGCAACCTTTAATCCAAGGGCAAAAGGAGGGTTCCTTAATAAGGACCCCTAGGTATATACCCTTAACATAGCTATTAAATATATATATATATATATATATATACACACACCCATGATCTAGCCCATTATAGGGTAGGGGTCCCCATTAAGGGTCCCTCCTTTTCCCCTTTGATTTAAAGAGCTCGAACCCTAAATCTGTAGCACGAGCCCTACAGCCTTCAACGCAGAAACCCAGAATCTTAAACCCTCAAACCCTAGGGCCTGAACTCTAGCAGCCTGGAGCCCTGAATAGGGGCCTGAAGGCTTAGAATAGGGTTGTCGGGAAAATATCACTATAATAACTATAGAAAAGGAACCCTGGGAATACTTCTTGCTCTATTTATATATATATATATATATATATATACACATGAAAAGTATATAGTCGACCCTAAACCCGAGGTGCTCAGAGTTCGGATCCTCCGCTGGAGGAACCTCCAAAGATGGAAGCTCCACCGGAGCCTTCGTCTGGGTTCGGTTGAGGGTTTAGGGGGGTTTCAGGGGGTTTAGGGTTTAGGGGTTTAGGGGGTTTTAGGGGGGTTTAGGGTTTAGGGTTCTTGTTACGGGATTGAATTTAAAGTAGAAGCCAGAAAGTTCGAACATCATTATGCTGGTAACCTTAATGTAAAGTATAAGGGATCCTAGCACGAATCATTCTAAATCCATGTTCCAACTTTTTGGGGTTCGCTGTAAGTTACCATAATAGGGATCTACAAGGGGCTCCTTGAAGGGATCCCTTAAGAGTTCCGTTAAGTGTCTTGGGTTTAAGTTACCATAACAGGGGACTACAGTGAATAATATGGTTTCTCTATTCTTATACCTTCAGTTGAACTCCTTCGCTAACAAGAACCAGCGTAGACCTATAGATCGTTAAGGTACCTAGTTTTATGGTTAGGGTCCGTTATAACCCTACTATACGTCGGGTTTAGGGCTTAGGAGGTTCAGGGTCCCTTCAGGGCTCAATCTAGCGTAATCATTAGAATAGGGTTTAGGGTTTAGGGGTTCAGGGGTTTAGGGGTTTAGGGTTTAACTAGAACAGGGGGTTCATTGTGCAATACTTATAGTCAGGAACCCGCAGATTAGCATTTGCAATTATTTAGGCCTCTATAGTACACCCCAACAGCCTTTCAACTTGCCCTAAGCCCTTAACCCTAAACGCTTGCGCTCGGGAACACAAACCCCTGGAGCCCTTCATGTCGTCAATCTGAAACTGAAGCCTTTTCAATTTCACAGACCTGGATCCATGATGATCGGCTTATGTGTGATTTAGCTCATACTCTGCCACACTATGGGTTTAGGATTTAGGTACAATATAGTGTAATCGACTGTAATAGCAACTACGAATGTAATACAATAAATCGAATGAGCAGGAGCGGCAGCCTTTCTGTAAGCCAATGATCTTCTGGGTTTAGGGTTTTGGGATGTTGGGGTTCGGGGTCTAGGGTTTAGGTGTTTAGGGTTTAGGTGTTTAGGGCCTAGGGGTTTATTGGTTTAGGGGGTTTAGGGCTTAGGGGTTTAGGGGTTTAGGGTTTAGGGTTTTAGGGTTTAGGGGTTTAGGAGACCGATCCTTTGTGACTCCGGAGACCACATACGGAATCCCGAGACTGAAAGGGTCGTGATGGATGTGAAACACCTACTTGTTGAGTATCCTGAAAGACAAAAGGTTAACATTTGGGAGTATATTGGGGTTATATATATAACATAAATATAAGTATACATATATATATATATATACATATACATACGGATCACCTGGCCCTAACAGTCAAAGCCATAGACCCAACTCAGACCGCAACTCCATCGTCGGCTGTCGTGCTGGGCTCCTGAGCGCTGAGCACACGATCGTAGGGCGTGTATGCCTACAGGATGCCTACTTAAAGGATCACGGGACTTAGTAACTAAGGTTTTTAAATGAGGTGACTAAAGTCATAATTCATAATTACGTACTTATCATCCCAATTGGGGTACCTATAGCCCTATAACTACTAGGTCCCAAGGTCCTCCAAGTGTAGGAAACCTAGGGTAGGAATGCACAGCTTGCATAATCATAGGACTACTAGGGGATCAAGTTTTCGCGGATTCGAATCAAACAAAAACGCTGGCGGCAAACTGCTTGCAGGCTGATTGAAGCCTGCAGACTAAACCCTAAACCCTAAACTCTAAAGTAGGGTTTCGTGCTCAGTGTAGGGTTATGGCTTAGGGTTTAGGATGTAAGTGGTGGTACAAGCGTCCCGATAAGGCTATTTGCCCCAGGTTCCGGTTGCTTCGTAAGGCCCCTGATCCCTCTGAGCCGAACCAAAAGGTCCACAGCAACTACTTACGGGCCTCAAAAATGCTCGTTGAGACATAGGACTCTTACTCTAGACGAATGCCACAAGTTGCACTTTAAGGTTAGGGCCAAAGGTATATACTCCCCGGATTCCTGAATCCAAAACCCCTTCCTATGTGACCTCGACGATCGTCGGCCATGGGGCCGGGACCTCATTTTGCCACGTGCTGCCTGGAAGCTTGAGGGTAGCCCCAAAAGCCACCTTTGCAGCTCGGTCACTGCATCGCAAAGCTGTGGTAAGATGCTTGAGGGCATCTTCGTCCATCTAAGTACTGTAACAGTATGGGCTTGCACAACCATCTGTCACAAGGTGGTGCAACATGTGCAGCTTTGGGCGGATGCGGTACAATCGTTTGTGCACCCGAAGGGCCTTCTCTGCGAAAGCCACAAAGGATCTCAAGTGCAGCATGCCAGGTTAGCGAACATGTCGCTTTGCATCCTCCCTCAGCCAACGTGTTCCATTATTCGACCACAGTGCAAGGTTGAGGGTTTGGGGTTTGACGTAGACCCCTGACTTGTAAGCCCATTTTGTTTAACGCACCAACAGCTTATGATACTACCGATGTAGGAGCCTTTATTATTATTTTTTATTATTAGTATAATTATTATTATCATTACTACTATTATTACCATTATTACTATTCGTATTATTAGTATAAACAAACAAGAGCAGGGCTTTGGGGGTAATGTAGACCCCTGATTGCTGAATCCCCGGTCGTTCCGGGCCCCAAGATTAGGATCCCCTGGAATCAGTATGTTTGGGGATTGGGGTATAGGATTTAGGGTTTAAGGCTTAGGGTATCGAAAGCGCAATGCCTGGGAGTTCTCCATCGCGGCCCTTTCTCATCCAGGCATTGCTCGCTAGACGATGCTGAATTCGTCAGGTTTAGGGTTTAGGGTTTAGAGGTTTAGGGTTTAGGTTGTCATAGGGCGTCGGGGTATCACAGGGCTCCGTAGCACTAGATCCATCTAAACCAAAACCGCTTGAGCAATTGAACTTGATGAACAAGTTTGGGGTCAAGTGGATAATCAAGTGCTTCAGGGTTTCGCGTCTTTGTGCTCATGTGGGGTGAAGGGGCCGGAAAGCGTCAGTGTAGTTTCGGGTGAAGGGTGCGTTTCTGAATAGTTTCTGACGTGCTGTGCAAAGCGTGCTCTCAGGTTCAGGGCTATGGTCTTGGGTTTTGAAGTGTGTGGGTTTCTCAGCATTCGTGACTAAGAAGGCTGTGGCGGACATGTCACCCATGACAAGACGAGCAACAGCGGAACCAAGTTGAGGGTTTGGGGTTTAGTGGGTTTACGGCTTAGGTTGTATGTTTAGGGTTGACATTGTTGAGGATGTTAGAGGCAATTGAAGTAAGTAGATGGTTCGCTTCCTGTCCGATGCCTTTAGGTTGCGTGTCTAGGGGCATTAACAAGTGACTCGAGCAACACTGATATGTTCTGTCCGGGGTTAACCCCATCCTTTCAATAGGTGCCCAAACAAAGTATCTCTTAAGGTAATTTAGGGGCCTTGATAGTATCGGTAGTATTACAATCATCATAGTAACGGCAATCGTCATAGTACTGCTACGGCTGCTGCTACTGCTACTGTTACTGCTACTGCCACTGCTACTGCTCTAGTGCTACTGCTACTGCTGCTACTACTACTACTACTACTACTACTAGTGCTGCAACAACAACAACTACTCCTGCTGCTGCTACTACTACGACGACTACTGCTCCTGCTGCTGCTACTACTACTACTACTACTACTATTATTAGCAGCAACATTAACGATAGGCCTAGTAGGTTCAACATGATTTCGATATATTTCTTCAGTATGGCTATAGCCTTAGCTTTTGCTCTTGTATTGGTTTCGGTGGAGGCCTCCTGCTGAAACCCCACGGTAAAGGCAATGTCTGTTTTCCTCATGGAGACAACCGAAACACCGGTATGAAAAGGACCCAGAAATTGCGTCAAGGGTCTCTTAATGGCTCAAGATACAATCCTTTCTTAAAGGCTGTTGGAGTCTCCAGCGGAGGTCTAACGCATCGAAACTCATTTACTGTTACTTTCACAGCTATCTTCGGATAAATCCTGCTCAAAACACGCCTGCTTCTTGTTTTGGTGGTTGTTCAGGCTTCTTCTTCTGATACAATCTTATCACACACCACACTAGCACTGAGCATTCAGGGCCATTCTTTGCTCACATTTCTATATGCTTATTTGCTGCAGACAACCCTGGACACCAAGCCACTGAACAGCCACCAATACGAGTGTCCATATCATGTCACTAAATCATGTTGACTCCGAAGCAGATGTATAAAACATGTTTGTCGGGATTTGGGGCCTATTAAAGGGAAAACGTATGTAGGGGACTGAAGAACCAGGAAAGCCAGTTTTTTGTTGGGGTTCCCGAAACAGCATACTGCGAAGGCCTTTTGGTTACAAAGAAATATGTCGACATCACCTCCATGAAGCGCGCCCTTGCTTTGTGCGCTCTGCTGTGCGTTGCTTTCATGTTGTACCGCTCACGACCGCTCGTTGCAAGGCGACGAGACTGGCTGTCGGGGCAGATCACCTCTGATTCGCACACGAAGCGAGCAAATGAGTCGTGCTGCTAGTCAGCGCAAGAAGCAAACATCAGTCTATTCTCATATTCTCCAAACTTCCTAACCCCCAAAAATCTCCAATCCTAAACCCTGAGCCTTTGAATACCCAAACCCCGAAGCTCTGGATCGCAGCCCCGTTTAAACCTTTGTGAAGCCCTTCAAACGCATCAACCTGTTAAAGCCCTATACCTGATGGAACCCTTGTAGAACCCTTGAAATTAAATGCATAATCAGGCCTTTGCCATAACGAACCCCATCCAACTCCCCATAGATCGTCGACTTGAAATCCCAAACCCTTCATTCACAACTGAATCGAATCCCCTCAGCCCCTCAACTCTACACTCGAAACCCTTAAAGAACCCTTGAAGAAACCGTTCAACATCTACCTCAAAAGCCAGGTCTTTGAGCGTCTTCTGGCGAATTCTAGCTTTGATCTCTCAGTCGGGATCACTGGACACCGTGAGCTCTAAACCCTTAGGATTTCCCGCTCTCTAGGATTTAGAGCTTCAAGTTTTGGGGCTGAGGGATCAGGCCTTTCGGGTTTCGGGTCAAAGGTTGAATAGAAATCCCCAAACCCTAACTAACCCCAAACCCAAGCATGATCTAAGGCCCCATTAGTGTTTAAAGGGGTCCAAATGCCCTTGTACTTTATACACCGCGAAAAACCTCCAGTCGTCAAATCCGTAGCGTAGGGTTTGGGGTTTTCTGCTTCAGGGGTTGAGTGTCGGGGGGCTTGGCTTTTTATCCGCCGGTTTTGGGTCCCTTTCTAGCCTGTTCCTGTGTTTGGGTTTTTCTTACACCGACTGGACCTGTCCGGGGCCACTTTCCCGCCTCGTTGGGTCCTTCTCTCACCTGTCAACCTGTTTTGGGTCCCTTTCTCGCCTGTTCCTGTGTTTGGGTTTTGTTTCACACCTATCTACCTGTTTTGGGTTTAGGGCTCGCCTGTTCCTGTGTTTGGGTTTTTTTTACACCTACTTGACCGTGCGTGCGCGTGCATGCGTGCGTGCAGCCTGTTTTGGGTCCCTTTCGCGGATGCCTTCAGCAGAACAAGCACATTCCCGATTTTACATCCAGACAGAGCTCAGAAGCTTTAGACGCCCAGAGCTACTGCAAACATGGTGGAAATCAGGTGGTTGCACGCGTTCTTGGGACCTCCTTGGGTGGCTCTGACTGATAAAAGCTGCCGCAGCCTTCAGCAGCCCCTGGTCCACGGCAGTCTTCGACCTCGCGACAAGTAAGAGGCGAAACACGAGCAAGTGTAGGGTTTAATGGGACGTAATTACACCTTAAACCATAAGCCCGGAAGCTTATGTGTCGTGTTATAGGCAGTATAATTCAGTATAACTCTTCGAATGTACTCCGGGTTTAAGGCTGTAAATGGAACTGTCATTTTGCAGCCATGGATCTAATCATTCCAATGGCGAAATTTGCGGTTCTTCGTGAGGCAAGGATCATGCCAGCAATATGGCCGCCTGGAACAACAATAGCAGCAAACTGCTAATGCTCCACAATTGTTTTTCTCGAAAGAGCATGCAGCGCATTAGCAGCATGTCAATCCTGCCGACAAAGTCAAGATGCTTGGCAGGTGCCGTCCAGCGGCCCCAACTTTCCTGCAAACGACGGACACTGGTATCAATTGCGTAGTTTGTTAAAACTTGCTTTACGTGCGCGTCTCTTACGAAAGGAGACAAGCACAAGGCTCCAAGTCGTGACTGTCGTCAGGGACCGGCTTCTCCACGCCCACCTGTTTGCACATGGTCTTCCCCTTGCGTCTGTGTTTTGTGTGCCGTTTGCAGGACTAAAAGCCTTCTTCACACGGTCAGGTGGCAGCCACTGAGGCGTGCTGGCATTGTATGCAACAAGGCCTTGGAATGCGCATCTCTCACAGTGAATTTTCCCAATATTATGAGCATGTCGTAAAAAACAAAAGGATTTGTAAAGCTCCCACACCCTTCTTAAACACAAGAAGCCTGGGAACTCTCCACAAGTTGCAGGTAACCGTCAAGCCTCACAGCCATCACCTGCTGCACCGATTGTCGTCCATTGGAGTGCGAGTACAGCACCTGTGATGGCTGGGGCTGGGAGGGTTTGGCCCTGAGACCTACGAGTTTGCTCACGTCCTGGCCTGGGCCCCCAACAAGTCGCCACTCATGGCGTGGTCAAGTTGGTTCTACCAGTGCCTTCCTACTTGGAGCCAACAAACCTGCCTCCAAACGAATCGTTCGAAAGAATGGACTCAGGAATCAAATCCAATCAGGGGTACAGTCGCAGTCGCCGCAGAACCTGCCGCTGCCGCTGTCGTCATCCTCGTCGTCTCGTCCTGTTCTTCGCGCTTGTTTCGTGGGCGCTACAGTACCCCTGGCTGTGGGAAGGCAGGCGAGCGTGCTGGATCGACCTCCATCGATGTCGAGGCGTAAGCGCCGCCCACCATCGAAGGTGGGCGGCCGATGCCATGAGTTTAGGGCTTAGGGCTTGCTGCGATGTTGCCATGCAGGATGAGATGATTAGGTGTCAATGATCCTTCAAGTGCATGGCCGCATGCGAGGTGCTGCCTTGGCCTGACTGTAGAAGGATGTGGAAGGCCATCTAACACAAGCACCCACCCCACGCCGTCAGGCGGCCAAGCCACCCAAACCTTCTCCTTCTAGAACAACACCTCTTCATTTTCGCTTGTGTGCTTTGTTTTTGGGATTTTGGTCCCTGAAAGCTCCAAGAACCGTAAGAACAGGAGGCGCCATTGCCATCGTGCCAGCTGTCCACCTTATGAAGTCCTGGAGACCCGAGGCCGGTACAATCCTGTGACTTAAGAGGACTAGAAGCCCTTGAGACCCTAGAAGCCCCCTGGGAAGCTCTCAACATTTGCACTTCCTTCACAAGGCTTGCGGCCACGATCCAATTCAGTTTTGGCTTCTGTGCCTGAGTCTCTCCTCACCTGTTTTGTGGTCCCCTTCCCGCCTGCGAGGCTTGAAAGTCCGGGAGCGAGCGAAAAGACACCCAACTGCCTCACTAGGGTCTTTTCGCCGCCTGGGTCTGCGTTTGCTGCCCGCGGAACAAAAAAAAACCGTCGTGGGTGAAATAAAAACCCAGCCCAGTGTCGGGCTTAGGGTTTAGGGTTTTGGGGGGAGGGGTTTGGGTTCGGGTTTTGGGATTGAGGGTTGGGCTCTGGCTTGCGGGCTGGGTTTAGGGTTTGGGGTGTTGTGTGCCAGGGTTTTGGGTTTCGGGCTTTATCACATAATTAAG